CACACACACACACACACACACACACACACACACACCACCGAGCTTCTTAATTAATAGCACAACGTCCGCTAGGAATAAAGAGCACAGGCAGCTCATTAAACCGGGGGGGGGCACACTTCATGGTCTTCCAGGCGCAGGAAGGGCCGGCTGCGTCTGGGTTCTTTGCCTCTCCATCAAGGACCCCCCCCCAATGGGAGTGCCACCCGAGGACCCTGCCGCTCACCCCCCAGGCCTTAGGGGGAGGACGTCTCCTTTCAGAAATGGGGATTAGCAGAGCAAACCGGTGTTCCTGGTGAAAAGGGAACAGGGACCCCCAGCAGCAAGTGCCCGACTGGGGGCTGACCCCAGGCCAGGGAAAAGAGTCGGGACCCCCCTCCCCACACCCTTCCGAGGGCTGCCAACGCTTTCCCCCAGCGTGGCTCCTCTGCCTCAAGTAGCGACCTGCTAAGCCTGGCCTTTTCTGCTTTCATATTTAGAGTTGAGAGGCAGACAGAAAACTTTTCCTTGCGTTTAGCCTTTGTCTTTTTTTTGGGGGGGGGGGCTAGAAATCACTTAAATGTCATGTCATTTGTGCTCCGTCAGCCTTCCTTAGCTCAGGGGTGCTGCTTGGCGGGGCCTCTGATCCCCCAGCCGGCGTGGCCGACAGGAGGCTAGTTGTTCTCATCTAAAAGTTACTTTTCCAAATGACTGGGTCAACTGGAACCAGAGGTGCCCAATTCTGCCCCCCCCAATGCGGAGAGGGCCTTTTCTCCCGGCACCTTCTCTTCTGCCACAGAGCTGGGGGGGGGAGATGCATGAGGTTTACAGGCTCCATTTGAGGAGCCCCCCCCCATTTATCCTGGGGCTGATCTTGGGAGGACAACCGCGGGGGACCCCCAACATTTCAAGCTCTGTGACTCTGAGCAAATTAGAAGTCCCGACTCTTCACTTCCCTGGGGAAGCCGGGAGTCCCAATCCGGGGTACACCTCCTGTTTTAACCCAAATAATGTGGAGCAGGGCACACGGATGGGGTGGGGAAGGGATTGGGCTTCCAGAAGACGGGGTGGGGTGGGGGAGTTGGTCTTGCACCGGAATGCCTGGGAAGCAGCAACCCACGGATCCTATAGAGTCCGGATCCTTCCCCGCCCCCCCCGGCACCCAGAAGACAAAGGAAAGGCTGCCGATGACGTGAGTACCCCAAGGAAGGGGTCTCGGGGATCGGAACTCAACCCAAACCCTCTGCGTCCCAATTCTCTGTGCGCAACCAATGGCTAAAAATAAATACTTTTGACTGGCTGCATTCACACCCCTGGGCTTTTCGGGGGGGGGAGTGTCGCAGTGCAGCCGCCATGGTGCTGAATGGGGGGCCGCAGAGAAGAGGGGCATTGGCCAGGCACATTCCTGGCGCAGGCCCCCAGGGTTCCCCTGCCAACCGAGGCATTCAAGCTTGGTTGGGTTGACGTCACGGCCGACCTCGCGGCCCAAACGGGAGGCTTGGGGGGTGAAAAGGCCCCACCGGTCCCACCACATGCCCCATGCCTC